GGCGTGGACTGCCCGGCGTGGACAGTGACCAACAGCTGAGCGTCCTTCTCCATGCATTTCCCTTGTCACCCGCACGTGGGCTGGGGCTTCAGGGCTCTGAAGAATCACAGATGTGTTCAGGAGAGGCCGGGATGGAAACCGCCAGCCCTGGGCCCTGGAGGGGCGACGATGCTACACAGGTCGGGAGCCAGGGTCAAAATGGAGTTCAAGTAAGAGCTTAGCAGGGATCTGGGGTCCCTAAGGAGGATGTCAGTGCCGGGAAAAAGGTCGGAGGCCAGGAGTCAGGGGAGGGCGATTGTTCACAGCTGAATTACAGGAGTCTGTGCCCAGTCACAGAGACGCATTGCCAAGGCAGCCCCCCGCCTCAGTGTGTTGCAGGAAATGGGCCCAGCCTAGCAGGCGGAGGCATGGCTGGGGTGCACATACAGACATGTTCTCCCAGGAGCCCAGATGTGCTTTTAGTCCTGCACAAATGCTCCCCACGAGCACGATGGCCTGGATCCCCAGAGCTGGGCCAGGATGGCAAACGCTACACTGATCCTGTGGGCCAGGTGACAGGTCCACCTTACAGCTCTGCCGACATCTACTGCGTGCCCTCCGTGCACCAGCGTTGATACTGAAGAGGCTCAGGCTTCAAAGTAAAGCAGTAATAACAGTGAAGGGAGTGGGGGCACCCCAGGGACAGCCCTCGACGTAACTGGCAGAGAGTCAGAGATGGCGTGTGAGGTCAGCCATCCCTGAGGTTGAGGAGGCACTGGACTCACCCGAGGGCCGGTGACACGGCAGGTTCCTGGGCTCCAGCGTCCCCCTGCCTGCCCTCTGCGATTCTCTGACTCAGTAGATCTGGGGCGGAGCCCACGCATTTGCAGAACTAACCTGCTCCCAGGCTAACTGGCACCATGCTGGTCATTGTTTTAAAAATACCTGCTGCCTTTCCTAGCAGGCTGCTCTGTCCTTGGGCCTTCCTGGACCAGAGAGTCTACTTTTCCATCCCGTTCACAACAGGCTGGGCCTTGTGACTTGACTTGGCAATGAAATGTCCACACAGGGATTGTGTGTCGCTTTGAAGCAGAAGCTATTCGCCTGCCGCCTGTCTTCTCCCCTCCCTCGGGAGCCTGTATGTCACAGACACAGGGCTGCTCATCCCGCCCGGGACCCCCAGTGAAGAAGACATGAGGCAGCGCTGCTCCGATCCACGGTGAGCAGCGGCGTGGGGGACAAATGAGACTGTTGCTTAGCACCTGAGCTTCTGCAGATGTCTGTTAGCGCGGCGGATGGCGGCCTGGACTGACCTCCGTAGGACAGAGAAGGCGACGGTGGGTGGAGTCTGAGAGCTGAATCGCTCAGCTTTGAGAAGAGGCTGAGACTTGAGAGGGTCGCGGGTGGGGTGCCGAGTGCATGAAATGCCTGGCACAGAAAGCGGTGGGAGAGGTGGGCAGAGGCCGAGACCCCTGAGTCTTCCATGTCGAAGTGCACCCTGGAGAGGCCAGGCGAAACGCCAGCAGGTGTAACAGAGCCTTAGATGTCGCTCCTTGGCCCCAAACGCATGTCTCCGCCCATGGGCTAGATAGCACCATGGCTGACCCTGTTCCTCGAGCCGGAAATCAGAAAGGCACCCCTCATCACCCCATCTCATTCTCTCCTGCCCTCGTCGGTGAGTCCAGCTGGCTGCGCCTCCAGATCCGAGTTCTGTCCTTCCACCGCCACGGCTCACCCTGACCCGGGCACCCCACCTCCCCGTGTTGCTGCGACCGCCTCCTGACTGGGCTCCCTGTTTCCACCCAGCCTGCTCCGTTTGGTCCACCCTCCCCGGTGCAGCTAGAGCGACTCTTAAAAGCACAAATCAGATTGTGGATTCGGTCTTCTCCCTGCTTGCAACCTTCTGAAGGCGTCCCACTGTATTGAAAACAACCCCCTATGTTCTTACCGTGGTCAGAAGGCCGCACATAATCCAGCCTGCTTCCCTGACCTCCCGCAACCGCATGCCCTGGACAGGATCGCTAAGGTCAAGCCTCGGTCTGCACGCCCACATCAGGGCCTTCGCACTACAAGCCCCTCTGCCAGAAATGCCCGTCCTCCACTGTCCATGTGTTCTCCAGGAATGGCCACCCTAAACGCTCGATGCCTCCGCCTTCCTCCAAGTTGAAAGCCCCCCCGCCACCATCACACCTACTGCTGTTCAGAAGTATTTATTTGCTTCCTTGATCACTCTCTGCATATTCTTTAGAATGGAAGTTCTAAGACTTCAGACCTAAGGCATTCATTCATACATTCATTCTCTCTTCCTTTCAACGAATATTTATTTAGCATCTTGTAAGTATCACATTGTTACTTCTGGGACAATATTTCAGCCATAAGCCACTCCCTTGTACATTCAAGTTGCTTAATAAATACCAGTTGACTAAGTGGATAAATGAATAAACCAAAGGGTGGGGAAAGGGTTGGATCGGAAAGAAGTGTCTAGGTCACATATACATTGCTAATGGCAAAACCGAATTTTAATAATGATGCAACGAAAGGCTAACTTAGACGGGCTGAGACACCCACATCAAACAGAGAGAATGAGCTCAGGATGGCCCCCTCACTGGGACCTCTCAGATTGCCCAAGAATCATCACAGTGTAGACATGGCTGAGTGACCAGCATGAAACGCCCTTCCACTGGCAGGAGACGGGCTGCTCAGTGACTTACGAGGCATAGTTTATTAAGGCCTTTCCTTGGCAAATGAAAGGAAACTATTTGCAATTAACCACCCTCACATTGCTGATTTCTAACAATAAATTTATGCCCAGGACTCAATGAATCTTTCAGGAATTCCCAGAAACTGCTATAAATCAAAGGCAATTTTGAGACAGCCAGAGGCGGTGTTTGCGTGAGTTGAAATGCAGCACCTGGTTCCAGCCAGGACCTCCGATGTCCTTTTCCTGTATATTCTTCACATACAGAGCATCACCTCTGTGTGAAGCTGTGGGCACCTTCTTCCCCTCCTTTCCAACGGAAGAACTAGATAAGATAGAAACCAAATCCAAGTGCAGGAAAATCCCGGTCGTCAGGTTCACCATGGAGAAGCCAGCGGGGGCTGTTGCAAAGCCTGAATTCTGGAGCACGTGGGGTGGTGGATGCTTTTTGAAAAAGTACATTCACTACTGTAAAGTAAGGTAACCAAGAATTGACTTTTGCTAGTACTTAGGGGAGGAATCTAAATTAGAGACAGATTAAATGTGCATATTACCTATTGATGTGTCCTCTTAGGGAGGATAAACATTTTTCCCTGCCAGAGTACTTATATATTATTTTTCTTAATTCACTTTTTTCAGAGCACTGAGGCAAAATTCAACCCAGGTCCAGTCGATCTACATGCAAACTTTAAATTTGTGGGTCTGAATTGACATTTTATTGTAAACTAAAAAGAATTCTCATACCAACGTTTGCATAGTTCTCCTAACATTCTCCAGATCTCCTCGGAGACTTCCTTCTGGGTTTAGGTGTCAAGATATTAATTGCTTTTGCAATGTGCTATGACTCACGTTTAATCACTTTCCTACAGTGACTCGGGCCAGGAACTCTGACATCTGTGAATGGCGGAATGCGATCAAAGAAGCTGGGTGAGTTCTCTCTTCAGCTTCCTTCAAAAAAGGATTTCACAGGCAAGAAACATGCTGAAGCTTCTGCCTGAGTCAGCGACCACTCATTCACTTCATGACGAGGAGCGCCTTAATGTCTCTGGGATGGAAAAAACTGTAATGTTGTATTTGCACATGAACAGATGAACAGACAAATGGAGCAGCATAGAAAGTCCAGGAAACTGCAGACATGCTCAACAGACTTACGGCAAAGCGGGAAAGATGACCCTTCTAATCAATCGTGCAGGTCAGTGGAAATCCGAATGCCAAAGTACGTATCTTAAACCCCTACCTCACACCAGGTATGAGCATCAATTCCAGAAGGGGTATAGACCTAACCAGGAAAAGGAAAACAATGTAGCTCCCAGAAGAACGCGTAGAGCATCTTCATGACCTTGGAGTCTGTAAAGGTGAACATAAACAGGACTCAAATTCCCAATCGTGATGGAATAGAGTGACGCACGCGTATATTCAAAGGACTTCCAGTGGCCACAAAACAAACCATTAAGAGAGTAAACAATGCAGCTCAGAGAATGGAAAATGGTATTTGTGATGTATATGTGACACTCATTTCCAAAATATATAAAGAATTTCTACAAATCAGGTAAGAAAAAGGCAAACAACCTAAGAGAACACTGGCAAAAATGCTAGCAGGCACTTCACAAAGTAGGATATCCAGGTGGCCGATATAAACATGCAAAAAGGTGGCAAGTCTCATTAGCAGTCAGGCAAATGTCAATCAAACACACAGCGCGGTGCCACCACACCGCCAGCAGGAAGCTCAGTGGGAGACGAACGCCACACGATGACGACGCAGAGCACCTGGGAGGCCCACAGATAATGCTGGCAGGGGTGCAAACTGGCAGCGCCACGCCAGAAAGCTTCTTGCCCGTTTCTACAAAGCAGAGCATAAGGATGTCTCTTGATTCTGTGTTGCTACTCCCAGGTACACCCACTACAGATTGCACATGTGTATTCACACACAGGAGTATTCACAGCCCCAGACTGGAAGCTACCCAAATGCCCACCATGGGGGGAAGGAAAAGGTGCTACATTCATGGTCAGTTGGTACAACGGGAATGAGAAAGTACAACCCCACGTGACACTGGGCTTCATCTGGAGCATTGGAAGAGACATGCATGAACACTTACTTTATAAAGCCTAAAATGGGCAAGACCCGTGTGTGCTTCAAATCAAGGAGCCCAAGGAAGGGGGCGTGGGGGCTGCTGCGGCACGTGCGTGTTCCGGGTTTGCTCTGCATGCTGATTATACGCACGTGTCCAATTCAAGGATCCTCAAGCTGGACCCTCGTGACTTGCACATGGAACGGGAACACTTGTAATGTACGCACGGAACGCAATCTCACTGCAAAGTATCCTATAATTTTTCAGTTTATTTTCGATTATATTTGCAGAGGCAGCTTTTACAGGATAGCTTCAAACCAACCATTGTACATTAACCAAATTTTACACAAGCCATTTGGAAAAAGGTCTAAAAATGTGCTTCGTTATTGGTAGTATATAACATTGATCAAGCACCAAGAGTGTGCTGAGGGCTGTACCGACCACAGAGAAGACGAGCCCTGCCTTCGAGGACACCCATTTCTTAGTCTTGTGCATGAAATTTCACCTTCCACTTCACACCCTTTATTCATAAGGCATAAATAAGGAGGTTTGTTGCGTGTCTCGTTGTTACATGATTAATAAATATCTAATACCCTTTTCCTCAGTTACACCAACAATTACGTTTGCTTTTAAATACAAATTTCCACAGTACAATGTACGGTGTATGCTGATTTGGTGTTCACACACTTGACCACAGTATTCTTGTAGGTTGGTTTATAATATGAAGCATGTTGAATTTCAACATTCACAAATTTTTATACCACTTAACAGAACCGTTCACTGGCTGGCAGAAATTTTTTTTTATTAAAAAAAAAAAAATAAGGTGCCATTGCTCATATTGATCAGCTGTAAACACAAACAACACTGCCTTGATTCCAGTAAGGGTTTGGGACTTAGGCCCCCGCACACAGTGACTGTGAGCATAGACATTAAACCAGCCTTGTAGGTACTAATCACATAGCCACATGCCCCAAAATGGTAACAATTTGTATCGGTTTAGTAGTGGGTGATAATGGTGTGTCTGCAACTTAGAGACGGGGGCAAATTAGTGTAAAATATCTGAAGACTGTGAGCTGGGAAATTGTTTTGCTTTTCTGCAAGGCTGTCTTCAAAGCAAATTCAGGCAGAGAGAGAATGAAATGGTTCTGAATATAATCTTTGGCTAAGGATATCTGATTTCAAAATAATAACATCTGATTGCTCATTTTTTAGTGCAAAAGAAATGAAGCGAATTTTGATAGTGGAAAGAAATCATACTTGATGTGAAATTGTGGGAGCGTGCGGTGGAAGGTGGGGCCCAGCACAGCAGAGGCCCCCGCCGGGAGCCCATACCAGCAGGCGGTGAGAGGCGGATTTCAGAGGGACGGGTAGGTGCCTCCTTCCCAGCCAGCTCTGGTCTTGCCCCCACCCTGCCGGTGGGGGGTGGGGGAACAAGTCTGGGGTCCAGGGAAGGGTCACTGCGGTGAGCTGGGAGTCAGTGGAGAGAAGGGATCCAGCAGTGAATTTCGCCTTCTCCCCGTCTGGGGACCCCCGGCATCCACCAGCCGCAACTGGGGCAAAGGTCCACAACTCGGCCCCAGGCTCAGAGCGCTCGGGCCACGGGTAGCCCCATTCCGGGGGAGGCCACCTGGCCCTGTGGGCCATCAGCGCCTGGTTTCCTGGGGGTCTTACCAGCCCAGCGGCCTCCATCACGCGGCAGTGATGCCGAGTGGGATGTTAAAGCTACACTGGACTTAGGGCAAAACTAAATTTCTCTGAGTTCCTCCCCAGATGTGAAAAGGGTAGAAAATTCTACAGTGTCCCTTCGCTTCCACGTGTTGGGTGGCGCTTACCGTCACACACTCCCTAGGTACCTGGGCACGTGGCCTAAACAGACCCGCCCCAGGGCAGTGGCAAGAATGGCTTGGTCGTCCTGCACGATCCTACCTGGCAAAGCTGGGACCTGACAAGGTTTTCCTTATCCCGGGCAGTGCCTCCCCGCTTCTCTGCCAATCCAGAGCAAGAGCTTGGGGAGCACATTTCTCTGACGCTCTGGTGGCGGGATCTGTGCTGGGGGAGCGGGGTAGCTGGGGTGTGTGACAGAGCCACACGCGCTGGGAGGAGTTGGGATGGTAACTCCCGGCTCCCCAGGGCACTGACCCAGGGTCCCCTTTGGGATGAAAGAAACCACCTTACTGAACGTACCCAACCCAAAAGAGCACCAAAACACTAAAATTCTGACAATAGACAGTTATATGTATATATATATTTTTTTTCATTTTCAATTATAAATCTTCAGTTTTCCATACTAAGGCTTAAGTTTCAGTCACCTAGTGGAAAAGTCATTCATAAACATGAGAACAGAAATAACATGACGACCTCTTACAAATAAAGGTTCGCTGCAGATGGCATCCACCCCTCGCGGGTGAGCAGCACGAGCTGTTCCGACTCCTTCCCGTGAACAACAGAATTAGACGCAGCAAGCTGGGCATTAGCGGGAATTTTCAGCCTGGATGCCGGGTCCTCCTGCTTTAAAACTGGAGGTGCCACCCAGTCATCTGTCAGGAATTTATCATATCGTCCGGAGCGATTATTCCAATGACCAACATTTATTTACATCCCACCTTGTTCCCAGAAGAATCAGGGTAGCCAGCTTCTGTCCCTTTCTCTTTTACCTGTAACAAGACACTAGAATCAAATGCTGAGAAGGAGTCTGTCTGTCCAATCAGGTCAAAGCGCCACACGACAGGTGGAAGCCAAGCTCAGATTCTGATGAGATCACAAAGCTACAACGGCTTCCTGCACCCTGGAGGAAGCTTGCTGTTAAGTTACTTAACAGAGAAGACACTAAACTGAAATTAGGTATTTAGATAGATAGATAGATAGATAGATAGATAGATAGATAGATAGATAGATAGATAGATAGATAGATAGATAGATAGATAGATAGATAGATAGATAGTTAAATAGGTAATATTTTTTGCACTGCTGAAAAGTATTCAAAACTCAAGAGCAGGTGTTCAGGTCGTTGAGGATACCTCAGTGCCCTCATCGCACAACTGACAAGCTTTCAAAATCTTTTTAAAGCCGTAGCACATGGCTGACGTTAGTGGTGCATGGATACCATCACAGAGGTTTAGTTAGAATGTCAAGGTTTAGCCGTTGTCTCTACCCCTCAAGGCACAGGACAAGTTCCAAGCCCATCCACTCAAGTGTGAGAAGCCAGCATCTGGAACCACCAGGGGACAAGCTCACAGACGGGAGCTGCACACCAGAGCAGGAAGGGGCGTCCTCCGGGGTGGCCACGGCTCCCCACGCAGCTCTCCTGCACCCTGGGGTGGGACAGGACGGTCTCCTGTCCTGAGCCGCATGGCCTGTTAAGCAGAGAGCACACCTCCCGCCGTGCCTGACTTGGCGGTTTAGCAACCTCCTACCCGGGCACGAGGGAGAAGGCCCCAGATGCTTCCATGAAGACCTGCCGGGAAGATGGTGACGACGACAGAAGGGCAAGGTGCAGAGTCGGTAGCCCTTGATGAAAGCAGAGAAGTGACGTCCTTCACGGACACGTAGCCTGTGCCTGCGCCTGCGTGGCCTAAGAGCATCTGGGAAAACGGACTCACCCCCTTCTTCCCTCAGCTTCCCCCGAAGTGTGTATCAAGGGCCTTCTGTGTAACACATGCCCACCATGAAACTTCATCAGAATGGAAAGAATCCAGTTAATTTTCCTGCCTTTTTTTTTTTTTTGGCTTGGAATTCAATTTGTATAGACTGGCAGTCCATTACATTCTCTTGGTAGGAAAAGATACTGCACTTCTAAAAATGCATCCGAGTGTAATTAAGTGAAAGCTAATGGGTAGGTGGATTTCTCTCTAAAAGGCAAACTTCCTAAAGGCCTCGTCAGCATCTGCAGGGGAGCCTCCCACCTCGGCCTCTGCTGCGCGACCTCCCACCACGCGGGAGGTGTCACAGGCCAGAGCCGGGTGCTCAGGACCTCAGTGTGCAGATGGGCACGACCACGACAAGGACGACGGTGCAGGCGGCCGCGGCGACCAGGGCCGCGATCTTGCAGACCTTGGCCCGTCTGAACTCGGCCTCTTTACGCTTCAGTAACGAGTCGTAGCCGGGGGTATAAATATCTTCCATCCAATATTCTAAGTTGTTTGGGTTTAAAGATTCTTGCGTCTAAAAGTGAAGAGAAGATGTTAGAAGTGTGGTGAGAACTTGAAACCAGGTCAAATACAGCTTGGGTGCTGCCCCTCCTGAAGCACCCAGGAGAGAGGCTCCCTGAGCCAGGCCGCAAGGCGCAGACTGAGATGCCCCTTTGTGGCCACCGGGCTCGCGCCCATCTTCACACAGGGAGACCCGTGGGCCTTCCACCTGTGAGAAGTGCAAGTGGGCCGAGACCAACGACACCAAGCGTCAGGGCCTCAGCCAAGGGCAGGCCCCACACAGGGGAAGCAGGCAGCCCGTGGACAGATATTCCCCAGCAGTCCCGAGAATGGCGCTGTTTACATCAAGGCTGCCGCGTGGCTCTGATGCAGGTCCCCGGTCCTCAGAAAAGCTTCTGCTGAAAAATCAAAGGCACGTCCTGGATAAGCAGTTCAAACAAAACACAGAATATTTCAATTTCAAACATTGTCTGGCACGGATCAAAGTCAGGGTCTACGGACCTGGTGCAGGCACAGCGTCCCCAGAGGGAGGGGGACACAGATGCTCCAGTCCCTGTCTCCCCGTGGTTAACGATCTGTCTGCAGAAGAAGTGTCCTATTTACCCTGTATAGTCCATGCACCCTGTTCCCCACGGAGGGCTGAAATCCATTTCCATGAAGAAAGCAAGTTCTCATTTATGGCAAGGATTTAATAATGTGTCATACAGAAACAACAACTCTCGGAAATTCCAAGTGAGGTCACGGAACCTGAGACACAGTAGCAGTTCCGAAGATTCCCCTCGGTTTGTTTAATGCTCATAAACTTGGGCGCAGGAAAACTCACACACACACATGCACACACTCACACACACGGGATCACAGAACAAATCCGGTGGGAAGCCTCTGCCATACCAGGTTATCAGATTCTGACGGTTCCCACCCGCCCCAGTCATCCCCACCCATCCTTCCAGGTGGGCTCTGCTCTCTTACGGCTGTTCTACGCCCCCCTGTATCGTCCCCAGAAGGGGGGTGCACCGTGGGCCAAGGGCCCAGTGAGTGTCGGCTGCCCTGCCCCCTCCCTGAGTGTGGGTCCCACTGGGTTTCAGGAGCAGCTCCCTTACGCCCCCTTCAGACCCTGGGTGGCAGCGGCCTGTCACCCTGAAGCCTGCCTGCCACCGTGAGCAGTCCCCCACCACTGACAAGGCCCTGCTTCCTGCCGGACGGTGACAGACCACGTGCCCTGAAGCCCCCTGGCTGCCCTGTGGCTCTCACTGCCCGTGGCCATCCTGGTCAGCAGTCGGCAGACCGCAAAGAGCCACGTTTTTACATCATTAGCTGTGGCAAAAATCAAAGAATAATCTTTCATGATAGGTGGCAATCGTATGAAATTCAAATCTCAGTGTCTAAAAATGATGTGTTCTGAGAACAGAGCCACGTGCCGTTCACAAGGGCCTGGCGCCGCCATGGAGCAGGCAGCAGATTCAGCAGGGTGACAGGCCCTAGGACCGCGCGGCCTGAGTCCGGTCCTGTCTGGCCTGCACAGCACAGGGTTGCCCTCCCTGCTCCAGCGTGTGCTATACAACTTTGCATCCTGGGAAGAGTGGACTCGGGGGCCGCCAACACTCTCCGGACACCCTTCCTCACCGAGCAACATGTCCAAAGGCTGCTGCTACCCGAGGGGACGGCATGATGACCCAGGACACCCACGGTGAGAAGCGGGGCGTCCCGAGCACGGGCATGGAGAGGCTTCAGGTGTGGGGCCCCCACCACCTCGTGGTGCAGGGGGCTGCCTGTGCCCTGCCTGCAGGAGCCACTCCCTGCTGCCAGAGCTCTGCCCATGGGGGCCCTCAGCCCTGCACGACGTCACAGACAGTCTACAGGGAACAGGTGGGGCCACAGGACACAGTGTGCCAGGAGTGCACCTGCGGCAACAGGCCCACACGGGCCGGTTCAGGAGAGGGGGCCCAGCTGTGCCCCCAGCCCTGCTCCTGAGGACAGGCCCCAGCCACGAAGGCCAAACAGCCCCGTCCCCCATCCTCCCGTGGCTGGCCCAGGAGGTGAGGTGTCTTGTTCCTCCGGCTCAGACAGAGGAGGTGGCTTCCTCTCACAGGTCTGCACACATCCCGGGCTGGGATTCAGCCTGTGCTGTGCACTATTTTAATTAGCTTTTCACTAACTGCGAGCTGGGAAGACACCACGGCAGGGAGGCAGCACCGAGGCTCCCGGGGACTCCGGCCAGCCCCCTGGCCTGCCAGACACCACGAACGAAGATGGGGGCCTGCCAGGCCCAAGTGGGTCCCCCCTCGCCGTTAACGGCGGATTCACATCCAGACACCAGGGGGCCTGGAGAAGGCCGTCCAGGGTGCTGACGCTGCCCTAAGACAGCGCCTGGGTTTCTGCAGAGACAAAGACAGAGTGCAGTGCCCGTTGGCCGTGGGCAAGCCCCCCTGCCTGTCTGCGTGGCGGCAGACCCCTCACGGGGCTGGGGAGCCCATCCCTCAGAGTGCTGGCCGCTGGACCCACCCTCCTGGGCATTCTCACGTGTGTTACCTAAAGATCTCTGATCGGAAGGTCTCCTTTTATTTCATTCTTTATAAATATGTGTTTATGTTTATAAACATTGGCACACCAAAATTGCATGTATCTGGAGAGGCAAAGAAATCTCCCAGCCTCCTTCCTCCAGGCCTCAAAGAGATGTTTCTCCATCTATGACTCATTCAGCTCATCTGACCCTCCAAGGTCACCCCGCGACGCTGAGGAAATCGTGACTTTCCCACCTGCAGGCCTTTCCCGACTCGCCTGCCGCACGCGTACCGGAGCCACCAGCAGGGCGCTGGCAGGAGAGGCGGGGCCACGAGGGCCACGTGGCATGCAGGGCACACAGTGCCAGACATGCAGGAGGGAGAGGCGCGAGCAGCGGCTGCCACCACCACCCGCAGTCCCAGGATCCGGCAGAGCTGCCCTGCCCACCAACAGTCACTAGGGGCCGTCATTCTGCAGACGGGAAGCTCCATTGGTCAGCACAAAACAAGTGGTGGAGAGGCGACAGCAGAGGGAGAACACGAGCCTCCGGGGCCCGGTTAGAAGTTAGACTTGGGGGGTGGGGGACAGGGTGCCGAGTTCCCGGGGCCTCACATTCCTCATCTGCAAACTGGGGACAGTCGCAGTGATCACTGCCCTGCGGGCCGGTGGGCCTGCACAGGGATGCCGTCAAGGCACAGATCAGCACGGGCTGACCGCCCTCACTTGTGTGGACTCCGCAGGCCCTCTCCATGCCCACACACTGCCGGGCCCGTCAAGCATTTACTTCCACCCCACGATGACCCTGAAGGCCGGACAGAAGTGCCATCTCCCAGGTGAGGGAAGTGGAGCTCCAGCCACACGGCACAGGACCCTGTGCTTTCCCCGCCGCCCTCTTTGCTGCAGAGCAAGGCCATCCCTGGGGGCCTTGCTGTGCTGGCCGCACGGCCTCTCTCCACCTGCCCTGTGAGCAGCGAGGTCATCCTGGGACTGTGGCCTTGCAGCCCACAGCGCTCAGACCACAGGTGGGGACAGGTGCTTCCGCACCTGCAGAGACACACGCAGACGCCCCATGAACAGAATCAGGCCGGCTGCCCACCCGGATGAGTGTGACCAGAACCCAGCCCGGCCTGCAGGGAATGGAACACACACCCTCCAGCCACAGGCGCGCCGACAGAGTTCCCGGCGCTCTTACCTGGAGCTGCTCCGTATGGAACATAATCCATAGCGTGGCTCCACAAACATGCTTATCCCACGTGCTACACATGGAAGGAGAAATCGGCTTGAATTTCAGTAAGCAGTTTGCTTGCGTCTTGTGAGCAACTAAGAGGCTCTGCATGTAGTCCGAAGCCTGAGACCAGGTGGCCAAAGTGAATGAGTCAACCCAGCGTTCCCACTGCTCAATGTTAACAAATGAGGAAGGCAGCAATGCCCTGCAGAGAATCTCTGCCCCACAGTTTATCACAGTGCAGAATTCCGAGGTGGGGACCCGGGGGTGGGTGCAGCCTGATCTCAGCCAACCACCACCCGTTCCGCCCCCACCAGGCTGAGGCTGCACCCCCGACGGGGCAGCGAGATGCTCACCTGCAGGTCCAGGGCCGTCAGCTTGCCCTTGTCCCCCGCGTTTCGTGCGTACTCCTCGACGGTCCAGGAGGGCTGGCCCCGCTTTACCTCGGCCAGCTCGGTCAGCCGCATGTCCGTGTACAGGGGGCTGCTCTTCACGTGGGCCTTGAGGGAGGTGGGGTTGGGCTGCGGGCTGAACACCTGCTCCACCAGGAAGCTGTCTTTGCACTGCCTGGGCAGCCGGTGTTGAGGGGGGATGTCGTACGGCCTGTCCACCTGCAGGGGGCCCAGAGAAGGCCAGGAAAGAGGCGTGGTGCCCTCGGACTTAGCTCAGCTGGGCAGCCACTGACTTTATACCCCTAGGCCCAGAGACACACAGGTGGCAAGATGCAGTTATCTATTTGCAAACCAGTAGATGGGATCCCTGGGGGGGGTGGGGAGGGCCATCCTGGTGGGGAGCCGGCGGTGACAGTACTAGTGTGAGCTGGACTTTCTGTGCCAGGAGACTGTGAGCTAAGCCGCCCACCTGCTCTGCCGTCCCTAACCCTCCTGGTGCGGATACGGAAACAGCCAGGAGAGACCCAGTAACCCACCACAGGGTGCACAGCTGCTGAGGGTGGACGGGACTCAAACCCGTCATCCAGCTTCAGGGAATTTCTGCTGAACCCTGCACACCACTGCCCAGCTTTCTTCCACCAAGTTACGCCTGGTGCGGAGGAGGTGGGGTGTCCTCCCCAGAGGAGCCCGCAGGCAGCACTGAGGCTGGGTTGCTCCCCCAGAAGGAGGGAGCCACGCCAGAAAGGATGTGTCAGGGGCCTCTGCGGTGCCTGCACGGCTTCCAGGGAAGGGGACAGGCTGGACCCCAGTGCAGAGCTGGGACAGGAGGCACTCCCCGCCCGCCACGACGGGTTGGCATCCCGCTGAACTGTAACTACCATCCGTCCCCAGTGGCCTGAGTTCCCTGAAGGCAGGAACTGTCACGCTTGCCTCTGAATCGCCAGCCCTGCCGGGTCCTGCCACCAGGCAGAGGGCCGCCCCGCGTCTGTCAGAGGGATGGATGCAAGGGGCATGGGGTGCAACAGCAGAGGGAGCTGTGTATGAGCGGCACAAAGGGGTCAGGAGGGTGGACCGAGCGCAGGTGACCCATGAGAGGAGAGAGTTCGGGTGTCACGGGGGGATTGAGGGTGAGCGTGTGCTAATCATCTATTGACCTTTCAATGAGAAAACAGACTCAGAGAAGGGGCACCGGGCATGCGGCACGTGCCCCCAAGGGACCCCTGAGCTGGTGCACTTCTGAAGCACGCCCTCGTTCTCGTTGCCCGTGTCCTGCTGTCCCAGAAGGGGCAGGCTGTCCTTGGGGACGCCTGCCTGCTCCGCCACGTCCGCACCGCCTGCCCAGTACTCAGGGCGCTCTCTCGCGGGGGCGACGCTGCCTGGCAGCCTGGCGGGCCCTCCACCCCAACCCGTGCTGACCCCTCTCCTCTAGCGGAAAGCCCTCCAAATCTGGGATGGCCTCTCTCCCGGTGAGGGTAGTGCTCAGGGCTTGGGGCTGTGCCAGACACTCGGGGGTAGTGCAGACACTGTCCTCGGGCGGCGCCCAACCCCGCGCGCTTAAACTTGAGTTACCTCTTTCGGTTTCCGATGCCAGTCCTTGCTGTCTCCCGGGCCCCTGTCTTTGACCTCCTCCTCGCCGAGGGCCCCGCGGCTGGTGTAGGTGATGGTGCGCCAGTCCCGGGGCGAGTTGGAGATGCTGGCGATCTTGGACTCCGTGGCGCTGTTCTCCTCCGTCAGGGACCTGGAGGACGGTCTGGGGAAGAGGCTTCTCTTCAAGGCCTTGGCGCGAAGGCTCTCGCTGTTGCTGCCGCTGGCATCGGAGCGGCACCACTCGCTGGCACTCTCGGGCTTGGGCCTGCGCGAGCTGCCGTGTGCCCGGAACACCCGGGGAGAGGCGCTCTCATCAGACACGGCCTCGCTCGTCAAGGAGTTCACGTCGATGGGCACCCGTGCCTTCTCAGGCTGCTGCATCTTCTGATCCAGTCTATGCAGTTTGCCCAGGACCTGGGAGATCTCCTCGCGGACCCCTGACAGGGACTCCAGCTTCCGTTCGATCTCGCCGATCCTGAGCACCAGTTTGCATACGCTGGTCTTCAGTTCCTCTTCTGAGTGGTGGCCACATTCTCGCCGGCTGCCCTTTTCTCCCTTGCCACTAGGGAGCCCGCTGGCGATCTTGGTCGGGCTGTGCTCTGGGGAACTGTCACAGTCTGACTTGTGAAGCTGCGACAAGGACCCTGTGCTGTTGTAGCAGGATGACTGCACCACCCCCGTCGAGCCACTGAGACTCATGTCGTCAAGAAAGCGGAAAATGTCACTGATGTCGTCGCTGGCGATTTCGGAGTCGCCATCTGACTGCTTCAGGACGCGGCTGTCACTGTACCTGCCCTGCCCCGAGGCACACAGGTCTTTGCGCTTCTGGGGCTCCAGCGCGTGCTGCTCGGTCTGGGTGCCCACGCTGCTGGTGTCTGAGCTGAGCTGCCCGCCAGTGCAGCCGGTGCTCTTGTCTTTAAGCTTCTTGACTGGTTCGTGCTTCTCCAGGTCAACAGGGGACGAGATCTCTTTACACTTGAGCCCGTTTGGTTTTGCCGTGTAGCCAATGGGGAGGATGGGCTGTTGATCCTTTGGTGCTAGGTAAGTGGGGCACCGGTCTGGCGCTGGGAAACTGGGGCTCCGGCTGCCGGAACTTGGATAGCATAGCTTCTCCTCAGAGGGATTTCTGTTGAAAAAAGACCGTTCGAAGTCAGGGACTTCTTCGGTGTTTAGACTCCAGCTTTTGGCTGGCCAGGGGGTCTGCTTGCTTGGCCTGCCTGGACAGCGCCTGGCTTCCTGGGTCCCCATCACTGGAGTGGGTCCAAAATAGGTAGAGGCTTGAAGGTCGTCCAAGCTTTCGTGCTTTGCCCGCCTTTTGTCAGAAACCGGGGAATACGCGGCATGCAGGTACTGGCTGTTGTAGGGCATCTCAAAGCTGTGATTGAAGAAGGGTGCTTTGTGGGACTCCTTCTGGGTCTGGGGTTCCCCACGCTCAGCCTTGTTAGCAGGGCCAACCAAACCGGGGGACACCGCCATCAGATTGTGAAAATCCTCTTTGAAGATGTTCCTTTTCTGGACACAGGACTGGACCACGAACGGCCCCTCGCTGGAAATGAAGGTCTCCTTCATGCCCTGGCTGATGGGCAGGGAGTCCTGGTCGGAGATGGACTCGGTCTCAATGTTCGTGGGGAAGTAGGTTCTCTGCATCTCACAGGGCTGAGGGCTGGCCGCGGAGTAGGGGGCCAGGGCCTGCAGCCTGTCCAGGGAGGCCGCTCGGTGTGTCATCTCCTTGCTGACGCCCAACAGGAAGTTGGGCTCAGACGCAGGTACAAACTGCGGGCAGTCCTTGCAGTCCACCTTCCGGCACTTGGGCGACTGCCTGGTGGGGTAGCCCCGGCTGAAAGGCCGCCCGCCCGGCTCACAGTTCAGGGGCTCACACTCGACTGCGCCGCAGATCTCCATGTCTGAGCTGCACGATTCAAAGGGTGCCTCCTTCTGGCGCACCTCCTGCCGGCCCGCGGGTGGCTTCTCCTTGGCGGCAGCCCCGCTCATTCGGATCAGGTTGAACATCGTTACAATGTCTGCTGCCACCATGATCTTCTTTGATTGCTGGTTACTCACAGAGCACTTCATCTTGTCCTTGAATAACGTGGCTGGAAAATTGGGATCGAGACAAGCTGTGTAGAAGAGCACGCTTCTCAGTCTGGCAAGCTGCGACAGGTCAAAGCGGGCGCACAGGGATTTGCACAGGTCCTGGTAGGAGACGGTATTTTGCTTGCTGTCCAGCTCTTCCAAGACCTTCACCAAGAACACCGACGCCTCCTGGCTGGCCTCCATGATTTAGAATTTCCAAGGCTGACTACACTGAAGCGTTGAATCTGTTCTACAGCAACAATATCAAAAAAGGGGTAGGGGGAGAGAATTATAAACACCAGTGCAGTTTTAAGTCTACTTTGTAATGAACCACATAAAGAAATGCAAGGAAAAACTTTTTAATGTATTCAAAATGTATTGAGAGCTTTAAAATATTTATAAATACAACTTTGTGATTCCCCTCACAGGAATCTACCTTAAAGAAATTATCAAGGACAATGATTCATGTATGAAGATATTCACTGTGATGGTATTTATAATAGTGAAAAAATGAAACATCTTAAATATCTAAATAGGGAAATGAGCAAATAGAACATGTCATACACAGTGAGTCTTTAAAAACATTAAATTTGCATTAATGTACGTGCTCACAATGGAATAGTACATACCAATAAGCAGGAATGAATTACCAGTACATGCAAAGATACAGATGAAGCTCAAATGTAGGGGCTTGAGCGAGGGAAGCCAGGGTCAAAGGCTACATGCTCCGTGATCCCAGTTCAGTGACCCACAGCAGTGGTTTCCAGGGTCGGATGTGACAGGGGGATGGCCGCAGAGGGGCCAGAGGAATTTTCTGAGATGATGGAATCGTTCCTCAGCCTGTTTAGGGTGGTGGCTAGATGACTGTATGCATTTGTCAAAACTCACTGTATCCTAAATTGGATAATTTTACCGCACGTAAATTATACCTTAATTTTAAAATTACACATTGAAGACTTTTTATGGCCAAAGAAACCCCAAAACAATAGTGAGTGAAAAAAAATGAAAGTAAATCTGTATATGTAACAACATCTTAGCTATATAAAATTATATATTCTCAGAAATGCAAGTGGAAGAAAATAATGTGCACCAAACTGCGAACGGCAGTTACGTTTGGATTGTAAACACTCATCTTCTTCTGAATTAGTGATCTTTGTTTCTCAATATTTTATCACATAAATTTTCAAACACACAGCAAACTTGAAAGAATTTTATAGCAAACACTTGGATAACTACCATGTGGCTTCCACCATTTTACTCTGTTATCACCTGCTTAACCATCCATCCCCCATCAAGCCATCTCTCTTTTTAAATATACTTCAAATAAACTGCAGACGTCTGAGCGCTTCCCCAACGTTTCATCATGCATATCATCAATCCCAGTTCAATCACTGTCTATAGATTTTCTTTCACTATAGATGTACACACAATGAAGTGTGCAAATCTTAAGTGTGCATCTGCTAAAGTTTCAACAAATGTGTAGTAACTGAAGCCCCTATAAAAATCTAGAATGTTCCCATTGCCCCAGAAAGTTCCCTCACGCTCCTTCAACTACTGTTCTTATTTTTTTATATATAATTTTTGTTTTTCTTTATAATTTCCCCTATTTTCTAAAATTCCTACAATGAACACATGTTATTTTGTGATCCAAACAATAACAAACCTCACTATGCACTGGAGAGAAAAAGTTACCTTAACAAATCTTGGATGGGAAAATGAGAAACATCAAATCAAAAGTTTAACAAAATTTCATAAGAGAAAGTAAAGCTCCTCACCAATGAACATGAACCCAGATTCCTAGATGTACAAGAAAACAATGAATCACATGTTAGCTTCCCCAGTCACACCTGGCTCAGAAAAGGCATTTTTGACAGTTGACTCACCGATCGATCGTAAGGCTGGCTCGGTCCACACAGTCTGCTCCCTGCCCTGCCCAACTTTCCCTCTACTCTGCAGGCTCAAAAGCTACAACCCCAGGTCCAAAAGATACTCGGAAAACTAAGGCCCAATGGCCCCCAAAGAGAATAAAACAAACGCAAGGGACCTGCTAAACCAGAGTCATGTTTTATCAGAAGTAGGATTGGCGGGTGTGTGACTGTCCGGGAGCCACATGAGCCCTCCATGCAAACAGGCCCAGGGACGCGGGTGGCTAAGACACCACGGAGTGTGCACACTGCGACTGACCATCCTGAGAAACTCCATGGGGGTTTTCCACGGTCCGCCGGTGAGAGACAGAGAGGACAGAGCTGCAGGGGGCTCGGCCGCCAGGCAGATGTCTGGGCTCTGAAACCAAATCGCAGGGTCCGTGTGAGTGCACACATTCTTGGTGTGGAGGCGCACCCCACTCCCGACGAGGAGGCCGAGGGTCAGAGGGCAGGAGGCTGCCCACCCAGAGAGACGGCCCAGCGCCGGTCAGGGCCAGGACCAGGCCCGCAGCCCAGGCTGACACCGCGGCTCCACCTCATGCCGGGTGACGACAGGGGGCCTGCAGCCCTGCCACCTACATGCGCTGGCTTCGTGGAAAGAAGCAGCTGCCTGGGGGGGAGGCAGGTGAGGAAACGAGGCAGGGTGGTGACTGCAAGCCACACGCGGGATCCGAAGCCAAATCCGAGGCCGGCTCTTCCCAGGGACCGAGAGCGAGGGGGAGATGTCAGCCCGCGTCTCTGCAGGCCGAGCGGCACTGCCATGGATGTGTGGGCACAGACACACACACCCCCACACACAGGGACACACAGATATGCTCACACGCCCTCACACAGTCACATGCACACATATACACAGAGACATGCTCACACACCCTCACACTCACACATGCGTGCACACACAGGGACACAGACATGCTCACACACCCTCACACATGCACATACACATGGACACACAGACATGCTCACACGCCTTCACACAGTCACACACACACACACACACGCATGCACACAGATCTGTGCCCTTTCTCCCTGGGCCTCTCGGCTGTGCCCTCAGGGTGGAGCACCTCCAAGCTCCAGGCACAGCCCCGGGCCTGCTTCAAGGCCAAGGAGCCCACATGCTCATCCCAGTTGGCATTTGGGAGGCTGACCTCCAGCAAATTGCCTGCCAGCCACCAGCTTCTCACGAATCCCAGTGACTACCTGGAGGAGGCAGCACCTGTGGCCAGGCTGTGCAGCATCTGCCCTGTGAAGGACCTGGGCACTGACAGGTGTGAGCCACGGTGCCCACCCACCGGTGAGTCACGGCTCCCCTGTGGGCAAGGAAGCCCACCTGAAAAGCCCAGGAGCAGCTGGGCATCTGGGAATCAGAACCATCAGGACCCACCAGGTCAGGACCGTCGGGCCCCCACCAGGACCCCGTAAAGACCCCATTGGGCCCCACTGACCACCCAGCTCACGTCTGCAGCCGGCAGCCGGCCCTGGGTCTGCTAGTCGCCCACCCTGCATTTTCCTAGGGAGGGCGAGCCCCCAGCGCCCACACCCCCGGGACAGGCCTCCCTTCCAGGGCCTCGCTGGCCCCGCCCCTCGGCTGTCCCTGCTCAGAGCACAGCAGTCCCCACGGCACACGCTCTCCAGTGGTGGCCGACATCTGACCCCCAGCCCCCTACCCCAGGCCAGTGCAGAGTCCCTGGGAGGGGGCGGGGTGCCAGGGCACAGGAGGACCGCCCGGTCCTGTGCAGCCGGCCTCCAGACAGATGGAGGGAGGGGCCCACAGAGAGGGGCCAGTGCTGAGGCAGGCCCTGGTGGCTGAAGGACCAGCCGAGGGTGCAGACCTGGGCTCGGACTCCAGGCCAGCCCCCAGGGAGGCCCAGCCCGTTCCCACATCTGTAGCCAAGGTGTCACTAACAAGGCCACTAACAGGGATGCAAACAGCTCCAACAAAAGGCTCGAAGGCTGAAGAGGAGGAGGGGGCCTGGTGGCTGAGCCAGGATAGGGAGGGGGAGCTGGGGGGCAGGGGGTGGAGGAGGCAGCCACGAGACAGCGAGGGGCATCCGGAGGATTCTGCAGGCAGTGGGAACTGAAGCCCGACACGGCGGGCCTGGAGGGGCTGGGCCTGCGGGCTCCCACCATCACCCGCTGGCAGCATGCACGGGCTGGAACCCGCTACCGTTCCTGCAGCACCCGTGTCTGCACAGCCGGGAGGAGAGCACCAGGCTCCCCGGACCCAGGTCAGCTGTTCCTGCTGACAGCAGGCTGGGGCTTTGGAAAGGGCAGGAACCAAAAGCCTGCTTCTCCCCCAGGACCTCGCAGCGCCTTGTGCATTTCCCATGTCCCAGTCTGGGCATGACGAGCATCGTTGCTGTCCTACCTACAAGGCTAAAATGAACGTCCACTTTTTCATGACCTTATGCATGTTTAGCTAACGTTGATCAAAACAGAGAAGAACGATAGGATTTAGGCCTATAACTCACAAGACTGCTGCGTGAATCTTGAGTAGAAGACGAGCTCTCTGAATTTTATTCCCACCAACTCCCTAAAAGGTTTCATATTCCCTTTTGCCAACAACTGCAACATCTGATAAGGAATGATACAAACACTGAACTTGATTAGCAAAACTCCATCGTGAATTGTTCTTATTAAAGCTTCCCTGCATGCTGTAGTGTACTGACCTTTCAGCAGCCGAAATAATGTGCACAGATGGAACGTGGCCACGATGCTCTTTGCGCCCCTGAGTGGCGACTGCAAGGGGATTTCTCTGTGGTGTCGGTGCAATTCCTGCCCGGGTGGTGGTCCGCTTATCGCTTTGGATCCCTTTTTTCTCAGGATGGCGTTTGCTGCTGTGATTCAGGGAAACTACGGATTCAGTAAAGTCATAAAATGAAGGTATTGATTTGGGAATCTAAAATTTATGGTTGGGAAATTCTACATTCTCTTGTGTCACCTATAATAAAATGCCAAACTGAAGGGAGACTTTTCTCTCCCAGAGGCAGCTTTCCTCCACAAAATCTGCTGAGGAGGGCAGCAAGGAGTTGGGGAGGGGGCTACACCTCTGCCAAGATACATCCCCACGGAGCTGAACCCTGTGCAAAGCCCTTGATTAAGAAGGCAAGACATTATGAAGCAATTTCCAGATCTGGCAAGAGAAAGCAGGCTTAGAAAACATGAAAAGCCTCCCGTTATGAACACCTAGAAATGCTGAATAAAATGTTTTATTTTTCTTTAACATACAGCTCAGACTTCAAGAGAGCAAGGTAAATGTCCAGGTGCCAGAAACAGAAAGGACTCAAAATCAGAGGTAAGCAGAAGAGCTGGTAACGTGGCCGCT